GGCTCCCAAAAACCTAAGCCTAGTTCTGGCCAAGCCTGAATATAGACACAACAGGTATTCTACTGTAGACATGCGTTGCAAAAGATACCACAGAGTAGACCGAGTCTAGCTCTATGCCATTCTGTGGTCCAGTGCCCTGTAAAGACAGATATTTACCTAAATAACTTTAATTTGCTTCTGTGTAAAAAAAATATATCACAATTTCAAATAATAAATAAATTTATTATTTTAAAAGTTATAACACTTTTGTTTTTGTGTGAAATGGAAAATTTCATGAATTTCTTCTATTCAAAATAGATTTCTTGCAATAGAACAAAAACTTTATAAAGGAAAAAAACTTTTTTTAACTAAATCCCAAGCTCAAACTGTCGATTTCCAAGATACTCACATTTAACGTCCAAGTAAACTTCATTGCTGGAAACGCTCCCCTGTAAGTTAGTCGCTCTGCAGAAATACTGTCCATGTGACGATTTCGAGATGCCTTGTAGAACTAAGGTTTGATTCGATATGATTATGCCACGTGATGAATGCAATTGTTTATCCTGCGAAAGAAAATGAAAAAATAATTTGCAAAAGTATTAATTTAAGCAGATAATGTGCAACAGACCAGAACAAATGAGATAAAACATAAACTTATTATCATAAAACTTAAGACGACAAAGTTGCCGTTCGCAAGGATAACACAAGGAAAGGAAAATTCCATTACTTGCAGGGAATGTACTGAACTGTAAGGGAAATTCATAATGAAAAGAAAATTTGAAATTTAAAAAGGATAAACTTAATAATGCATTTTATATATTTGCATTCTTTGTACTGCAGTTTCCTCGTTTTATTTTCTCATCGCTAAAAGGCAAGGATAAAACTGAGTTAAGGAAGCAAAATGTGAAACATCTTCTCAGCGCAGCAGAGGAACGAATTATGTAAAACAGCTGCAGATATTACACATTTGTAGCAAACGGAATTTTAATTAATTTTTATTGAATTGTACTGCGATAAGCTTGTGAAAGCATGGTTTTAGAGAGATTCAATAAAGAAGATCAAATGGTAAAAAATTATTTCAATTAAATAATAATGAGATACTTTTAGAAA